TTTTAAAATTTAATTCTAAAGAAACATTATATACCCGATTCAAAAAAATTATGAATCATGATTAAATACTATTTAATAAATAGTGAAAAAAATACAATTAGGTGTCTATTTATTAAAGTTTAAGTTTTCTAACATTGTTTTATATGTTTTTTGGGTCAATAATGTAAAAAATTATTGTCTTCTTCCACTAGTGGTACAATATTTTCATTGTTCAACTAGTTTAACAATGTCTCAATTCTAAGTGTGTGTGCGACAAATGTCTTTTTTGGTTTTATCTTAAAATAAGTAGCAAGCCAAATACAGGCAATACAAAAATGTCCAAAATAAGAATTTTTTTCTCATTGAATTTTAAATGACATTTAAAAAAACCGTGACGTCAAAAATTAAGAAAAAAATGCAAAGTTTTGCATGTTGAATTTTATATAAATTTTTACTTGATTGCACATTAATGTTTCTTTTTGCAGAACTAGAAGGGCCATCTACATCGCAGCCTAATCAGTCCATATCTATTCCGTTAAAGCAATCATCAATTGCGGATTCTTTTAAAAGGATCAGGGTTCGTAGCGACTGGGAAAACCGGGAAAAGTCAGGGAATATAAAATAAGTCTAAAAAGTCATGGAAAAGTCAGGGAAAAGTCAGGGAATTATCTGTAAATAATACTAATACTTAAAATAATAATAATAATATAAAAGAAAATAATATTTACTTAATACCTACCCAATCTACAATATGATTTAATATAAATGAAATGCTTGGGTAATTTTAATGTAACTACCTAATCGTGTAACTGTCAGTTTGTCTTTGACAAAAGTCAAAGTAACATTACAAGTCTTTCTCGTAATTGTGAAAAATTGTTTAATAACAGAAATCAAGGTTCTGGAAAACAAAAAACAAAAATTAACTGAAGGAACTAACCATGAAGTGGACAGAACCAATAGACGTCTACAAATGTTGAAAGAAAAAGTTTAAAATAGTTATTTGACTTATTTTTGTATTTTGTTTTGTTTTTATTTACGAGAAATATGCTCTATGTTTTGTTATAACTATTAAGTTAAATTTTAAAAGATCTATAAAAGTTTTGTTTTTGAATTACATATGTGACCTGGACTACGGAAAGCTACCTATGGTTAGAAATCAAGTTTTTGAATAAACAGCTGTTAAAGATAACAAGTACTGTCCGTGCGTCGCGTTTGTATTTGCGCTTCTACCTTTTCTTTTTTCGTCTTACCCTTGGCTCTCCCCCTCTCTTTAGACTTCCATTATACAGTGGTGCTTTTACAATAAATATTTTTGTACCTTATTCAAGTGATTTCCCCTAAATAGCTAATTTTGTGAACGTTGAAAAAGTTGGAATAATACGTGCTGCTTTTCTTATCATTGTATTTTCGAGATCGTGGTTTTTCGTTGTTATGCAGCTAATTTAAAGTTGTTTTAGTTTGTGAAAGTGCATAATGGATTTAGAAAAAGAATTTAAAGCAGTGGAGAAACAATGTTTTGCGGATTGTGATGAAGATTACGAAGATCAAGGTGAAGGTGCAGGTGTTAGTGACATAAAAGATGACGTACCAGATTCGTCTTTCGATATGTCTCTTCAGGATATTGACGAAAATAAAAGATCAAAAAAAGCAATTTTGATCTATTTATAACTTTTTTAGCGATATTTATAATTCATGTTGAACTTTAAGGATGATTTCCAGCAAAAGTTTCAAACTTAGGAGTCTGCGGTATGTTCCATTAAAAAATACGTTAAATTTTTTATAAATTTCGATCAAAAAACAAAAATTGATTCTTTCGACCATAGGTACCTTTCTATAGTCCAGGTCACATATAATATGAATTATGCTATATGTATTTATTTTTGTTTTTATGGTCCGTTATTAAAGCTGCAAAGTATAAATCCTATTTTTTATTTTTTTCCTATTTGCCTGAATATCAATATCAATTTTTGACACCTTCCACAGTCTATGGAAAAAGCTTGAGAAAGTTCTGGAAAACCTGGAAAAGTCAGGGAATTTTATACGAATTCAATAGTATGAACCCTGAGGATGAAATCCTGGTACATTAATGAAAATAAAGCCAAGGAGTTTCACTATTTGATTGGCGAAATGATATATATTGATAACCAACCGTACAGCATTGTGTCGGATATTGGATTCTCCCGTTTAATGAATAAAGCTCTCCCAAATTATCAGTTACCTTCTGATAAATATTTTAGAGAGAAAATTGTGCCCGATTTACGAAATGGTGGGAAAAGCATCTTTTACATCAGATATTTGGACTTGTCAATATACAAATAACTCTTTTCTTTCCCTCACAATTCATTTTATTGATAATTATAATACAAGTCCAAACCTGAGATCTAATTTTGTGCTTGCTTGCAAGAATTTCCCAGGCTCGCATACTGGTGAAGAAATATCGGAAGCATTTAATTCTTTGTTAACTGAGTGGGAAGTACCAAGGGAGAAAATTAACTTAATACTAGTCGATAATGTTGCCAATATGAAATGTGGTCTTTCCCTGGCCAATTTAAATTTTGAAGACTGCTTTATTCACACCTTGCAGTTAGTAATAAATAATGCAATCCGAAGTCAACATTTCGTCAATGAAGTTTTGGCAAAATCAAGAAGAATCGTTGGTCATTTTAACCATTCACAAACGGCTTGTGATAAATTAATTAAACTACAAGATCAGTTAAATCTTCCTTAACATAAATTAATTCAAGACGTCCAAACAAGATGAAATTCAACATTTTTTATGCTTTCCCGTCTATTAGAGCAAAAAAAGCTATTAACTTATACATCGTAGATCATCCAACACTCGTCGATTTAAATTATACAGAATGGGAATTGTTGACTGGTATTTTAAACCTACTTAATCCATTTGAAGAAATGACTTAAATGACAAGTTCTTCAAAATTTTGTATATCCGAGGTAATACCATTTGTTTCAACATTTAATGCATATTTAACAAAAGAAAGTAGCAATTTTATTGGAGTGGGAACTATAAAAGAGGAAATTAAATCCAGTTTGAACCGTCGTTTTAAACACGTGTTCTCAAATGAAAATTACACAATATCAACTTTTTTGGATCCTCGGTTTAAAGGCAATTTCTTTAAAGTCAATCGTAGGTCTCAACTTAAAGACATAATTAGAACCTTGGAAAATCGCGTTGATGAGGTTTCTGAAGTATGTAGTAATCCAACTGAATAAAATAACGACACTGATAGCGATAATGAACCCCTCACAAAATATATATATATATATATATATATATATATTCGTCACGATTTGGAAAATGAAATAAGTCAACAGTCTTCAGCTCACGATTTGTTTTGGGAAACATATGAAGAATTTTTCGGGGAAGCACCATCTAGAAGGGATGCAAGTTTGAAATCAGTATATGAAAGGTTTAAAATGGATGTTCTGGCTTTATTATTTTCTCAAGCACTTATTTATTTAAGCGCTCCAGCAAGCAGTGTTTTTAGTGAACAAATGTTTTCAGAAGCAGGGACCGTAAACTCAGCAAAAAGAAATAGACTAAACCCAGATACATCCGAGGCTTTGATTTTTCTTCATAGCAATTTAAAAAAATTGGATTATTCTTATTAGTTAATATTATTAATTAATTTTTATAGAGTCTTATTTGTTTTTATTTAGTGTTTTATTTATCTGTTATTAAACTTTTTCTAATTTTAAGGAAAATTCATTTAATAATAATTTATAATCGTAATTTTGAATAGGATAACTGAAGTGTTTTTTAAAATAAATGTATATCAAGAATTGAATTGATTTAATTTGCCTGATACACTTTTTGGTATACGGATTCCAAACAGCACTAGCATATTCCAGTTTACTTCTAATAAGTGCGCAATATAATGAACAAATACATTTAATCGAATGAAATTCGCTTGTGGTGCGAATAATAAAACCAAGCATTTTATATGAGTGCTGGCAAATATTATTAATGTGTAAACTGAAACAAAGCTTCGTATCGAAAGTTATCCCCAAGTCTATCTGATTGTCTACTCTAATTAAAACATTGTTATTAATTGTGTAGTTAAAATAAATTACATTTACTTTTCTGGAATAGGAATTTTGTTTTTTTTATATATACATGTTTAATAAAGTTTTTCATAAAAAAATATTTTTTAAACCTTTCGGCCGATACCGATAATCGGCCTGGTGGCCGATATGGCCGATATTTTTATATCGGTATCGGTCGATCACTAGAAACCATAAATAAAATGAATATCAGCTAGTTCCCTTTTGGAAAATCGCTCCATATTAAAAAAATAACAAAAATCGAGCCAGAAAATGTTAACTATCCTTTTTGGAAAATCGATTCATAATAAAAAATATAACAAAATCAAGCCAGAACATGTTAATTAAACTATTACAATGAATGTTAAGTCAGCAAATAACCCAAACAACACTTTTGTCCCAAAGCCTACTACAAAGTTTTAAAGAAAATATGAGATGTTTATGCTATGCAGAGTAATTTATAAATGCATTACAGCATCTAAGCGATTCAAATCAAGAGTAAATTATAAATTTTCATAAACAAAATTAAAATATTTTAAATTTTAAAAAAGTTTGGGCTATTTTTGTAACTATGCCCCCCCAAATGTTACGCCTATGATTAAATGTTAACAGTTTTGTTCAGCCTGTCAAAATTACCAAAGTACCGAAAATGATACATGTTTATTAAACAAAAGAGTGATATTTTTCTATGAAGAATGCACTGTTTTGTTTGACCCCCTAATTTCGGGTCACCCTGTAAATTTAAATATAATTTTTCCAAATAAAATGCATAAAGCTAGAAATCAAATCATAACTAAAGAAAACTTCAATATCGTTTTAACAACCCCCAAAGGCGTTCTGACCTTATATTTAATTAAAAGCAGAATTGGTTTAATGGAATATATTTTTATAGCATATTTTAATTATTAAGTTTTGTGAGTGATTGATTAATTTTTATTTATGAAATATTTTGTTTTTAGGTATATTTACATTATATGCACATGAGACATAAATTGCCTTATATGGACTACATGGGTGATAAGTTTTTAATATATTAGGAGATTAATTTAACTTCAAATAGGGGTAAACATAATGAGTGTTATAATTTAATATTTAAAAAAAAATCATTTTTAGACCAAATTAATGTTTCTGAAGATAATAGTTATAATAAAATGAGAATATTAATACTCTGATGAAAATTTAAGCAATTAAGTTAAACAATGGTAAGTATACTAATTTATATAAGTACAGGGTCTAAAAATTTCTTGTTTCTGGTTAATACCTACAGGGCCTGATCTAGCAGTATTGCTGAACTGGGCAAAGAGAAAATATGCTTCACCATTAATGTATACTCCCACCTAGTCTCGCAGCTATAGTTTATAATTAACTGTTTTTGGGGATTTTTTTTTATTGATATAGCTAAAGTTAAGCAAAAAAACTATTAACTAGGTAAACTTAAATAAAACACTAAATGTATAAAATTTATATAAAAAAAATTAAAATAAAACATCATATCACATTACTTTGAAAAAACAATTATAGCAAGAATGCATTTTAAGCAAAATGTCTAATTGTTTCCTTTACGGTAGTATCTACAAAACATTAGTATCTCCATTTAAAAAGTTTGATAAATAAATAACAGTAGGCTGTGACAGTCAATTCAGTGGTGCCAATGTAGTAAAAATAAAACGTGTTTTAATCATATACTTATAACTATAACTAGTTACAGGTATATGGTTTTAATTAACAATTTAATACTAAAGTACAAATTAAAGTTTTATTAAAAACTAAAAACAACATAAAAAGTAAATAAATAACAATGTAAATTGTTAATTTGTTGAAATTGCAAAATTAAATTAAAACTATTATTTTTGTTTCTTAAGTTGGCAGCTTGAAATTTTAAATAGTGTTTTTTAAGATTTCCCAAAAAAATATACTGTAATAATCAATTTCTAAGTCAACATGAATTTTTGAAAGAATATGGAAAATACCACCTGTCAAGATGTGTTATTTACCACAGATTTCCCATAAATTATTTTAAAAATTTGTTTTAAAACTCGAGAAACAAAATAGGATCATGTTGATGGCTTAAAAATTGATTATTACAGTTTATTTTTTGTGAAAATCTTATAAGCTAACTCGTGAGATACAAAATAAAAAATGGCGTATACATGATAACAAGTGTAACTTTAAAAATTATTTTCTTGGAATCTGCTGTAAAAAATTCTGAAGTTATTTGTAATTGTGTCTGATGCCTCACAAAATCTTATATTAAATTTTGAATACATTATATGAAAACTCCCTAAATGGAGATGCACAAATCGTCTACTAGTATTGCCGTCATTGGTGTTGCCAAAGCGGGCACTACAGTAAGCCTGTTTTACGTCTGAATTCTTCTTAAATATCCACTTTATTTTTGTTGACGATGGCTTTATCAAAAGCTGAACTGCCATTTTTGCACAGGACAAGTGTAATATAAATTCAAATAAACGGATCCTAGCGTGCAAAACAGATAGACCAAATGATAGTGATTTAGTATCAACCTTTTTAATAATAGTTAAATCATTAAACTCCTTAGAAGTTATAACACCTCATTGTTGATTTGCTCTGAGAGTCACTAATCTAAAGCCCGAGCCACCTGGTACCACCACATCATTAAAATTGAAAATTAAGAACTATTCTATTTAAGAAGATATTTTTCAGCATGCATTTTGTGTTAAAATCAATATACATTTTAAATCCACATGCGCGCGGATAAGTATTTTGCACGCTAGTATAATAAAATAATTTTAAAATTAACTTAATTATAGTAAGGAGATATAGAAGAAATATAAGGAGGATGACTACTATGTATGATAAAGTCAAATCTGAGACTGATATATGTATAAAACAAACATTTCATAAAAAACTTAAAGCACTTCTAAGTAAAATAAACAATCCAGCTAGAACAAGTCGGTCTTCAGGACGTCCTAATTTAGGACTCCTACGGAAAGCCTTACAGGATATTGGGATATCTCAAGGATATCCTCGGACAACCTTGGACCTCGGTAAATCTCAAACACGGCCAAGTGCAAGAAAGCCTACAGACGACCTGTAAATGGCCCTTAGGTCCAGAAATCCCAAAAAAGGAGAGCCTACGGACATCCTGAATGTGTCCTCTGAAGGTGCCTCGGGTTATTATTGTTCTTGGAATTTGTATATCCTAAAGAAATTCTCTGCACTCAAACTCTATTAACTAGCCATTATTCGTTACTGAGCAGATCAACCCCACTCTAATCATTGTTTTTTTAAATCAAATTCAAAAATATTTATTTCTAAATTACATGTATATGAGTGGGGGCACAATACATTTTATAGCCATGTAATAGTTATTTACACCACATTTTATAAATATGTACTGTATTTTTTCTTAGTCCAGAGGAGAGCAGTTCAGGGGATTGGAGGCACCTCCGCATCGATATCGTGATGTATAAAATTGTATTGTGCTGCCGGAGTTTTGTTTGATATGGCCCGCTTTGTTTGCATAGCGATTTAGAGGCATTTTTGTTATTTATTTTATCGATTGCGATTTTGCAACTCTCAGAGACTTGGATTTGTTTTTATTGCTGGTTGTGTTATCGCAGGAAAAGAAAAATTAAAAACCTGCTTTAAAATAATGACTGAAATCTAATGGCTCGTAGTAATTCTAACGGCATTCGAAATTTTTGGGTAAATTTTGCTTTAACGTGAGCGTGCGCCTTGTGCGCGGGGCAGGGCGCAGCGACGATCGGTCCGGCCAGGCTCTGGCGTCGCGCTCTCTGTGTGCGCGGGCACAGTGCGTTTTTAGGAAATTTTATGGTTTGGGGTGAGTTTAATTAGGGATTGTTGCGTCTAGGTTCTAGGAAAATTGAAAATTTCCTGTAGATTAATCCGTGCCTGATGTTGTCGTTGTCGTGTTGTCTAATATTGGTTATGTCATTAAGAATTGGATTGATTTTAGTTTTTTATTTATAAAAAGGTATTTGCAATTTGTGTGATGTAATGTTTTATATATGGCATATCGGCCATCTCGTGAAGATGCTCGACTCAGGTATACCTACTAGGGGTGTCAATCCCGGGATCCCGTAAAAAATCCGATCCCGAAAATCCCGGGATTAAAAATCCCAATCCCGGGATCTTAGTAATAATTTACAAAGAATAAAATAGACTTTTTTTTAAGCGTATGACATTTTTCATATTATAATACTCATAACTTATGAGTCATAAGCATAACTTATGAGTCATAAGCATATATATAAACACTTCATTTTTTTACTCAGTTCAAGTCAAATTATTATACAACGCCGTACAATAATGAAAATACATTAAAATTACATAGCAAGAGTGGTTCCATCTATAGCATAAAATCAGCAAAGAAAATTTAAAATTACAGTTCACTGTAGAATAAATTTAAGTAAATACATAACCTATAATATAACATATTTCAAACGTCAAACCTGAAAAAATGTCACAAACTTGATAATTTCAATGTAAGTTACAGCCCCAATTGGAACGCACCAAGGCCCGATTGATAAAATAAATGGAATTATATGTTAATGGGGGTAAACGTGGGTACAATGTGCCTACGAATTCTTGAAAACCATTTTTCCAACTAGTGTGAAGTCCGAAAGATATCGTTCGTTAGTTTGTAACAAACTGTTTGTTTGTTTTTTTATTTTAAATATGTTTTAAAATTAATGATATATATTTTTTCGGGACTGATCCCCTGAATGCGTTGTATGGTGGTATAGTTTGTTTCAGATGTCGAGCACCAGGCGGGGTGGCGATAATGGGCCTTAGTACACCTTGTATCGTTTTGTTTTTTTGCGATAATGGATTTTTTTTATTTATTAAAGGGTACATACTTTTTAAGGCTGTGAAGACCCTGGCTTTCATATTGTTAACGTGTTTGGTAAAAGTCAGTTAATTGTCAAGTGTGATGCCCAAATATTTCAGCACCGGTTTTTCTCGGATTGTGACAAATGGCGTTGTTATTCGGCTGTACATTTTTTGGTAAAGTGAATAACTTCAGTTTTATCGTTGTTTATTTTTAAAAGCCATTTGTCAAAAATCGGGGTCAGCATTCTCAGGTGGATTTTTACCTGTGCGGCAGCCACTTGAGTAAAAAATAAATGGGCATACACGGTCGTGTCGTCTGCACAAAGTCCTAGTTTTGTCTGTCTGAATTTAGGGATTTCGGCTGTGAATAGACTGTAGATTTTCTGCGCGAGTACCGTCCTTTGCGGGACGCCGGCCTCTATTTTGCATGAGTGTGACAGTGTCGAATTTATGATAACTTTAAAGTCGCAGTTTCTTTAATAAGACACCACCAAAACAAAAATTTAAAAAAAATAATCTATCGGGCGCTAACGGACTCAATATGTGCATTTGTCCATGGTTTTGTCCGGATACGGCTCGATAGAAAATTTATAGGAAATTACCTATAGGCACACCATAACTTTTACATTTTCCCTATTGAGACCGATAGCAAATAACTCAAGGAAGGGTATATAGGGATATCCCTATAGAGCACTTTTATATTATTCTTGTTAGCAGGGACCACTATGTAGGTATAATAAAAATAAACTGTAATAATTAAACTGAAACTTTAATTAAAAACTCAATAGGAAATTACATAAAAAGAAATATTATCATTTTTAGGATAAACTTCTGTAATTTTGTATTAATGTGATTTCTGAGATTGCATCTTCTTCACGAGTTCTGCTATCCTAGGCTAATATTGTTACTCAAAGCTCAAATGATTACTTACTTTCAAACGATTCCTGGCCTTGTTTTTAATTACCAACAAAGCAGAAAATCTTTGTTCACATATATAAGTTGTTGAGAAAACCATAAAATAGCGCAAGGCGATTTAGTTTTTTTTTTATTTAAAAAAGTACATCCTAAATATCACAGTAGCGATAATATCGGATAAGTATAAATATAATATAATAAATAAGTATGTATAATATTGGATTTATATGATAAATAATAAATAAGTAAATACAGGGTGTCCCAGGTTTAATGATCTTAATTTTGCCAGTCGGTAGAGAATCAAAAAACAAAACGAATTTCCAAGGAAAACATGGATCGAAAAATTGAAAATAACTGAGATACAGACCCCCAATTTTTTAAATAAAAAAATATTTTTTTCTCATAACTTTTTAACTTTTGAAGTAGAAACAAACACTGTTTACTGAAATGT